AGTGAGAATAAGTGGGTCAGTTAGCAAGCGGGCTGATCGTGGGAGATGGCACAGTGACCTCAAAGCCTTGAGGACCATCTAAGCAGGGCTACTGCTAACACCATATGGCCCGTGCCAGCTGCTGCGAGGTCTTGCTGCTAACGTAGGCAGTGGGATGGATCTCCCTCCTTCCTCGTCCAAAGCCTGGTCAGTTAGATACAACCTCCACGTTAGAGTGTGTTGGGCCAGTCATAAACTTTATAATGATTTTGGTGCTCTTAGAGATCAAAGCTACAGAGAGGGTGTTGGTTCCTGGCTGTCCTCACCTCTGGAGAAATTTGGTGTCCGAGTCCCCGGAGCAAAAGCCAGCTCTTGGGTTGGATTCTTCGTTGCACCACACTAGCTTCGCAGTTCCTGGAGCAGGGCTTCATTCATGGAGATATTTCATTTCTGATGCCAGATGGTGGGAAATTGGTGCTGCATAGACACTAGTTGCTTTTCTAGGAAAGATTTCACTCTGAGACAAATGCTTTTCTGAGGACATACTTTGTGTGAATGTTTTTTTTTATCTGTTCCTGCTTTATGGTTTCTGCTCCTTCTTCCGCTTTATTCCAGGGACATAGAAGAAAGAGGCCTGAAAGTTCACTTTTCTGAAAATATTTTCTTAATTGAACTTTTTTCCCCACAAAGTCTCTTGTCATTTGAGCTGAAGCTTAAAAATGGCCACAAAAACCTGTGAAGGAAGAAATCTGAATGCTTTTCTGCCTTTGCTTTTATCTTATATACACAGAGCTATTCCTTCCCCCTTGCTGTCTCCGTTTAGTGGGGTGCGTTCAGGGAAACTGAAGAGGGTTTCTCTTGTTGTAACTTGCACCAGAGTTTATGTCTGTCTTTGTTTTGTAAGTGCACAAAAAGTTATCTGAGGACAAGATTTTGCCTTGTGAAAGGGTAAAGGATGCAGAACAGTTTTCCTCAAGCTGGAGACCTTCATCCTCAGCAGAGAGGGTTTAAATAATCCTAGCTTGGTTGGCTTCAGTGAGATGATTGTATCAGTTTGCAGGAGATGAGGACCTGAGCCCTTTAGACTTCATTGTTTCAGTGCCTGATTTAAAAATTTGCATTAGGCGTATATATATATATATATATATATATGTAAAATAGATTTATATATATATATATATATATATATATGTAAAATAGATTAGCCTTGGCCTGATAGGGCTGTGTTATCTGTTTGTTGCTGGTAGAAGAGAGTCCTTTCTCATCCTTTTGATTATTTCCTTATTTTGTGGATTTCCAGAAGTTTATGATCGCGGCACAAAATCAAAGCTATCGTATGTGCCAGTACAAATTGCTGACTATTGACCACTAAATTTGGTCGAAGGCAAGATTATTACTGTAACGCAAAAAAAAAAAAAAAACTAACTGAAAATAACTTCTTGGAGCATGCCGTCTGCAACATTTTGTTTATAAAGGGCTGTCATGGAAGTTAACAGCCAGCAGTCTTCTCTCAGCATCACACTGTGAGGTTGCACAAAAACTCCTTAATCAATTTTGATGTGGTGCGCAAGTAAACGGGGGGGAGGGGGAACCCTTCAACTGATCCATGTTCATACAGAACTGCTTGTTGGCTTTCATGCAATGTAGTTTTTGGAGCACTGGCTTGCTCCTTACATGAGCTGTGGTGATGCATGAATGTCACTTCTTGCTCAGCAGCCTGATCAGTGTGCCTTCAGAAAGAGCTTTATCTTTTCATCATGGCTCATGTGATTGGCCCCTTAAGCCTGCTTATGAGTTAAGCCTGCAAATCTGGCCTGGTGGCTTAAATGACTACTTTTCAACCACCCTTGTGTGGTGGGTGCCTAGGATAACCTGAGCAGAAACTGCCCTGAGAATAAGGTCTTACATCTCTGAAGTGAAGCCAAAATTTATCTGTTCCTTTGAGTAGCCCCTAAGTATGGATCCCTTGCGCAGGGCACCTGTATATGCACAGGGTCGAATGTCTTGTAGTTTCTAGAACAGAACTGTAAGGATGAGGTTGAGATGATCATAGCAAACCTGTAATCTTTCAACCACTCTTCTTTGCATTCGAATTCATCTTTGCCAAGCCAAGCCTGCAGGCTGTTTGACTAAGCTATCACCATGCATGCGTTTGAGTTCTCACAGTTAAAACAATCTCACTTGCTTTGCTGTTGTTTTTAACACTACCCCAGCCCTGGCCTCTGAAGCTTTTTGAAAATAACATTTACAATAATATTTTTAACAGTTCCGTAGTATACAACTCTCCAGCACCCTGGCAGGACTCCCGGAAACTTACTGAAAGTTAATGTGGTCAACCCTTAAAAAGGAGAGATTTTTTCCGCTTGACTCTTGCTTGTTAAACTCTCTGAGCCCAACATGTTGTTCCCTGCTGCTCGAAAAAACAAGGAAAGTCCCAATTTTAGCAACACTAGTTTGAGTAGCTTTCCAGCTGAGCCACGTTTCAGGGGCAACTGTGGCTTCCTTTTTTTTTTTAATGGTAGCGTATCCCTGCACCTTCAAAGCAAAGTGCAAGTGGTGTTCAGGCTGGAATAGGTCAGTGGAAACCTGTGGGTGATACTCTGCAGTGGGAGATGCTGCTTGTTTGTGCGACGGACGTGACAAGACACCCTGGCTTTGAGGCCGTGTTTTATGTTGGACGCTGGGCCTGTGTGGGATGGGAACGGTCCTTTCTTGGAGAGATGGGATGCTGTGAATACTATTTCGAATCGGTGGGTAGACCAGTAGGGATGTCAGCTCTCGCTGTTGGGCTGCAGTCTTCCCTAACCCCCTGTCCTACATCCTTCTTCCCAGTAACTCCCTTGCAGATACTTTTGTGTCTCCCCTCAAATTTAAGATGAAACTCCTCTTCCCCATCCCCTCCTCCCCTGTCTTGCGTTCCTCACCTTTGGCACACAGGCACTGGAGTCATATCTAGCTAGACAGGACCTTGCCGTTGTCTTCCTTGAACTCAGTCTTGGCTAATCCCCTCCTGCCTTTGGAGAAAGGGGAAGCACTGGAATTAATTTTTGAAGTGGGTTTATGACCGTGCACATAACCCCTGTGTGGACACTCCTGCTGCAGTGAAGCAGCCATCAAGGTTTGAGCCACTTTGGCTGCAGAAGTGTATTCAGCTCGATCAAATCAAAGCTGCTTTTATTTCATGTGAGAGCATCTATATCGGTGTTTCCTGCAGCTTCACTAACCTCCAGGAGTTTCTTGGGCAGACAGGCTCTAAGCAGGAGCAGGCCAAGCCTCTTGCATGCGCCGCGCTGACCTGAAACATGAGTACTGACTCGCCCCGGCATCCCTGGTAGCTGATGTTTCGTGGAGCTCTTGCTTTTGTCGTTTGGTAGGAGGCATTTGTACGGCGAGGTTACCCGGGGCAGTAATTTGTTAGAAATTTACGGCAGAGGCGGGTTTCGCCATCCGTCGGAGCGGGAAGCGGGAGCCCTATTTCAGATACTTGCGTCGTGACCTGCCGGCGCCTGAAAGCTCTGGCCAGGGAGCTCGGTGGGGGGAGTGGGGAGATGCTGCTTTGAAGTGCATCGGAGTAGAAACAGGCTTTTCCCTTTTTTTTTTTTAAGGGAGATAATGAAAGGGCAGAATTTGTACTAGAAACAGGAATTTGTCCTTCTGTAACAGGAAGCTTCTGGTATGTATTTTTGGGAAGCCACGGAAATCGCCAGCGTTCGTGATCCAGTTTGAAAGCTGGCTGTCTTCAGGATTAAAAAAAAACTTGCCTAAAGAAAAAAAAAACCACAAAACTTTATCTCATGTATTTGTGGAGATTTTGTGGGGCTGGTTCGATGACGAGAGCCGGGCCATGAGGTCTTGGGGGCTTGCTATAGCAGAGATGATGAAGAAAGAGGGAAATAGGATTCTGCAGAAGGAAAAAAATAACCTATTTTTTGGAGTTTGGTTGCGTGGTTCGCCTTCGGGCACGTGCTTTTGTGACTAGATGCAGATCCCAAAACGGGTAACCTGTTGCATGTCTGCCTGGCTGTTTCAGACTACAAATATGCAAGTTCATAGATGCAGTGATGGAACAGAGAGCTGTATTTGGCTTGCCTAAATTCTGTCCAGTGCCTTTGCCTTGTCATTAGAGGTCTCTGAAAAGTCTCCAGAGAGCCATTCAAAAAAGCCTGATTCTGATGGGACAGTTAACCCAGGCTAGCCCAGGAATTTGGGGTCAAATTTAGGCTATCTGCACGTGGCCCTTCGTGCAACCTCTGTGCACGGCTTAATTGCTGGAAGTGTCACATTAATTTTGAAAGCAAAAACAGTGAAGGTTTGGGCTGTTTCCTGTTCTCGTTGTAATCAACGGGAGTTTTTAACTTGCTTTTGTGGATTTCTGCTCTCTTGATCCATTCAGTTCTTTTTCTCAAGATAGGATTTTAAACCTTTCCCAGCCTCTTAGTTGCTTCCTTGCCTCCTCATTTCTCCTGAAGTGGACATCGCTGAGCACCCTGTGGCTTTACACTCTTGGGTTAACTGGTGCTCTTCTGAGAGGAAGCTGCAGCAGCAAAAGGAACAACGCACTTAATGGCACATGTACTTCTCCGCCTGTGCTGCTTGCTTATCAGTTTCCCTTCCTGCTCGTCTCTCTCAAAATAGGTTGGAAAAATATCCTCCCGCTTGCCAGCACGAAGGCTCTGGAATCGCTAAAAATTTTAATCTGCGCTTGCAGTCATTTGTTGTGCATTTTACTGTTTCAGATTTGGTTTTGTTTTTTTTTTTTAGATCAATTTAGCTGAGCTGGGATCTTTTGGAATTGCTTTTTTGTCCTGCTTCTGCACAATACGTGGTGCTTAATGCTGCAGAATTTGTGTGTGCACCCTGGCGCGTGCCGCTCATTGACTGCAGGGCAGGGTTGCCCGCAGTGGCTGCAGAGCAAGAGCGTCTTACGCTCTCAGCGCAAGCTTCATCAAGTATCTGAGACATCTCTCTGTTCGGTCATGTAATCACGAAGTAAGCTTTATGGCTAAAAAAATCTGCGTGCTTATCAGCCAGTGGAACTGACCTGGTCTTTGCTGATGACTTCTAGCACACTATTGTTTAAAGGGTGCCTGTCTGGAGGTAGGCTCTGCCTTTGTTCAGCCTAAAAGGAGGTTTTCAGCTAGCATACATAGGAGCAGGAGCTTACGGGTCAGGATAATAGTCTAAATTGCTCAGTGAGCAAAGACAACCCTTTGCAGTACGCTGAGCTTCGGCTAAGTGCAGCCTGGCAGATAAACTGAATCCTGTTCTGCATTGGCCTTGGTGAACTAGAGGAGGGCCAAAAGTAGCGTGGTGGCCACAGGCAAAGTATCTGGAAGAGCTGTAGGGATGCTGCCTGCCACGAGGGACCTACGTGGCATTTGTTGCTGTTGAGAGCTGCCCAGATTTGTTTTGTTTTGTTTTTTTCACGAGGAGATAAGAGTTAGAGAAAGGCTGATCTAGCCTTTGGGAACCTTGACTGGAATTTGGAAGGCCTAAATTTAGGTCTTTACTTTGACATAGGCTGCCCCTGAGGCTGGCTTTCCATTTCTGCCGTCTGTCTGTTCTCCAAATGAGCGTTACCCCATAGGCTTGCTGCAAAATGCCGTGTGTTAAAGATGGTATGGTTTTGTAACAGTAGCGTTGATGAAAGTGCATTGCTTCCCTCCGTAAACCCAATTTATTCTTGAACCAGGTAAGTTTTCTTTGTCTTCCCCTTAAAAAAAAGGAGACCTATGGCACAATTATAAGCTCGTTACTCCAGAGTATGTTTATACGAAAGGGTGCAGGGTTGATAGCCTGATAGAGCTGTTGCATTATCTTTGGGGTGTGCAGAGGAGGTCGGACTGCTGTTCTCAGTTCCTAGAGAAATGGCTGTCCTCTTTCTCCCCAGCCCAAGTGATGGTGAGGAAACGTTCTTTTTTTTTAAGGGTGGTCCTGTCCTGTTCAGTCTCTATGCCAGTTGCCATGTTCCTGTTTAAACTCTGTGCATGTTTGTTATTACAGGGTGGATGCCTGAGAGTGGAGGATAAAGTACAAGTGTCTGGGACCAGTGGAATGGAGGCCTGATGTAGATGGAAAGATGGGTAAGAACTGGATTCCCCTGAAGCAATTAATTCTGTCCGGCCTGCTTATTTCGGTTGGGGTTGCAAAGCATGACAACACAGCGGGAGATGCTGTTGCTGCAATGCCCTGGTGAAATATTATATCGTTTTCTAGTTTTTTTTTTTTCATTCCAGTGGTGACAGAATTGGACAAATTCTCTTCTTAGCGTGGTTTGGTGGGTCATGTTCTAAGGGGAAACTGCAGTCGTTTTCCAACTCTGCTTTGTATCTCTGAGCAGGGCATCTTCCATTCCCTTTATCACTTCTCCCAAGGATGCTTCAATTTCAAACAGAGTCCCTATATATATTGCTTCTCTAAATGGTGATCTGGTTTGCTTGCACCTTTTGCCCTCTTCTGCTGGAGTAAGAGAGTAGTTGTATATCAGAAGTCCTGTAGTGGTGAGGGAGACTCTCGTGAAGTGGGGATTATCTCTAGCTCTGGAGGTACATAGTAATCTTGTTCTTCTCTACTGCTGAAGAAAAGTTTTATTATAGCAGAAACTGAGACCATTTGGAAGTGCTGGACTGGCTCGGTTTTAGTGCATGAATAACCAGAATGGTGATGGTGTGTCTCACGGGTGATAAGCGTGAGGCTCGAGTGCCCTTGGGCTTATCATGCGGTTGGCCATTGAGCTCCCTGCAATACCCTTGCAAGATCCTACATTAGTTGCAGAAGAACAGCTGTGCCCTGCTTAAGGTGCCTGTAATCTGTCACACATCTGGGAACACAGCTGGAAAAAACCAAAATCCATATATCTCAATAAATTCAGGGATCATCCTCCAGCCCTGGTAAGAAAGGGATGCAGTGTTTGGTGGTGGTTTGAATTAAAAAATGAGAAATGCTGAAGCGTTGCCACTGTTTGTCCTCCCCTATGGGAAAAAGGAGGATAGGAGTTAAGCAGTGTTCCCCTATCCTAATTTACATCTCTGGTTTGCTGTTCTCTCTCCATTACCTAAAGAGATGTTTTGGGGGCAGGGAGAGAGCTGACTCTAAGTGAAATAAAGCAGAAAAGGAGGGAGGAGAAAGTCTAAACCTGAAGGAAAAATTTCACTATACACAATGACAATTTTCACTTAAAAATCCCTGGTGGGAAAACTCAAAACTTTTTAGGGAAATTTTCACTTTGAAGGTGAAAGCCACTATTTTGTCAAAGCAGTTTTTTGGTTTTTGTTTTTTTTTTTTTTAAGAAGGAAAATTCTCACTTGCTCTGAGTTGGTGACTGCAGTCTAGTTCTCATCAGATAGTTGATTTGGTGACTTTTTTATACACTAGAGTCTCTGGCTGGAAGGGGAACTTGAGCCTTGTAGGGGTGAGTGTCTGCAGCAGCAAGTGCAGCTGATGAAAACTGCTCTAGCTACCTTCAAACTAGCTATCTTGCATGCTTGCCGCTAGCCCAGAGCCTGCTGCAGGCTGCAAAATCCCATGCAGGAACCGGCTGTGCTGCTGTAGCTGAGCCTTCGGCAGCATCTGAGCCATCTGCTGTAAGCATAAAACAGATATATTTGGATAAAGCTGTAATTGCAGTGGGTACTATAATGAAATAAGCACCCTGTTCCAAGCGTGCAACTGGTTTTTGGGCACGCGGGCTGAATAGCTAGGGGCCTGTTGTGCAGATTTACAGTTCCGCTTACATTTGTGTATATGCGCATGTCGCCTTCGCAAATCTCGTCGCTCACAGCGTTGCTGTAGCTCATTGTTAAATAGCTTCATTGCGCGTGTAGGGACTGCTCAGATCTGCCAGGCCACACTGTGAAAGGATCTGTCTGATCCCAGTTTCTAGCTTGCCTGTTGGGGTGAGACAGGTAAGTGGATGTATCTGCTGAAGCCCTGAGACTGCAGCGTGGTGGAAGGCAGTGTGTCAAATATTTTATTGGTGTTTAGTCCAGTGCAGGTGGATTTTCTATCTTTCTTTTTGGTCTAATGTAGAGATTGTTTTCCAGGCCGTGATAGTGGCTTGGTAGGACTCTCTTTGGGGATTTTTGTGGGTTTTTGTTCCAGATCCTTTGCAAAAATGATAATTCCTACAGGTGAAGGACAGTGCTTCATAGAGCTGACCGTGCTTTGAGTCAAAGGCGGGTAGACTTGATCAGTGTTACTGACTGGTGTCTGTTAATCAAAGGATCACTGCAGCAGTTTTGCTGAGGCACAAAAGAATTAGCTGAATTTTGAACGTTTTACTTTCATTTCCCTCACTTTGTGTGAGCTTGCTTCCTCTTTACGTAATGGGAAGGGGGAGTGTTTTCATGGGAAGAGCAGGAAATCTGGAGTCGTTTCTTTGCTTCCCTTCTGGAAGCCCTTCTGTGACCACAGAGGAGATGTGTTGGATTAGGTGATCTCCTGAGGTCCCTTCCAGGTCTGCCTTTCTCCCTAGGATCCTGTTTGTAATCCACTCAGTGTAGCGCTGTTCACCCCTGGACATGTTCTAGCGAAGTTTCATGACCTTGCATGAAGACCACAGGGTGGGAAGTGGGAACTTCTGACTTCTCCGTGGGCTCCACCTCTGACATACTCATTGGGTTGTACCTTGCAATGCAGGGCTGCTTGGACTAGCCCTCTGTAGCGGTGGCATCGTAGGACTGCAGACAGGTTGCTCTGCCATTGTGGGTTGAAGACAGTATCTCCGCACATGCCAGCTTGCAGACAGCCTGAGCAGGGGTCCTTGGCGCCATGTCCTGTCACGGTGTGTAGACATCATCATGGCCATGTCTACTTGATGCTACTATCTGTTCTTAGTGCTGTCTTGAAGTACTTGGAGCTCTCTCGTAAGGGTAGGACAGAAGGCTGCAATATCTGAGGGAAAAACAACTGGATATGGCATAGGAACTTGGGACAAAATTGTTCTGTTTTTTCTTCATGCTTTGGTCTCGGATAAACCTCATGGACTCTCAGTCAGCATTGCCCTGGGGCACTTTTCGCCAGATGTGTAGCTAACTGCTGTACTTCTGCTGAAGCATTTGACTTTTTCTTCGTATGGAAAAGGAGGCTGATGAGAAGAGTAGGATGGAGCCATGGATCGTATGTGAAAGTGGGTTTGGAAAGACTCTGTGGCCTCTATCATGTGAACAAAATACAGCTGGGCAGCAGTGCATGGGTATGGAACTTATAAAGATCTCCATGTCTCCAATGGGACCACAGTCAATGGAGGTTAAAAATTGCTGTATTTAAACCCTACATCACAGTAAAAGTAACAGAAAAACCTGCAGATGTTGATATAAAAGGCCTCAACGTGTTTATTGCCTAATTTTGTTGTTTAAAAATAATGTGAGTGTTCTTAATTGTGGTTATGAAATGCTATGTGTTTCTGATGATAAAAACGTGGGGAACTCCATCTCTTCCATTCAGTATTTGTATGTATAACCCCTAAGGTTACCCTAAGTACCGTAAGTCTCTAATACTTTTTTCTGAAGAAAGTCTGATTCTTGCTTCATCAGAGAAATAATCTGACGTGTGGGAGACGGGAGAATAATACTTACATGCAGTACTACGTTGACCCAGGGGTTGTGGTGAGTACCCAGACTGTAGACTGGGCTGGGAGAAGGCAAGGCAGGTGGCTTAAAGGGGAGGGGAGCCTGCTGGGCAGTTGTGGTCTGGCCCTCCATTCAGTGTTTCTTAACCCCAATGAAGTGTTTTTCTGGGGCTGTTAAGATAGGAAAACTGCCCCAATCTGTGGCTGGAGATGTGGACCAACTCTCCGCATCCCTGCATGTGCAGACAGTGATTTCTCTCAACTCTTCCGTGCCTTGTTTTTCTTCATCCCTCCAACGGTGCAAACTGTACTTCACTTGCTCTTTGTAGCCTGAGAGCTATTTAAAAAAGAAAAAAAAACAGAGTTCATGTTGAATTGCAAGTTTGTCTTACTGCAAAGCACCTGGAGCTTTTTAGCTTAAGTTTTGTCACCTTCAGAAGGTGCGTTTTGAGTTGAACAAACTCTTTCTCCCTTTCCTGCTGCTGTGCCCTTCCAGGCTCCCATTTGGGGTCAAAGCAGGCGCTTTGGGCACGTGGGGGATGCAGGACCAGACCTGCATCGCTGTGTTAGGGCCGTTGCAGCCATCGCCGCAGCAGCAGGTTACGAGTTTGCAGGCTGTGGACTGTGGCTCTGAGCAGTGGACGTAGCTGGGCTGGGAGGGAGAAAGAGCTCTTTATGGGCGTGCAAATAACCTTCAAAGGCACTGGAGGCAGTCAGGGGAAATAACTCGCCGGCTACGTTCCTCGCCGGGCAAACGTTTTTCTCCTTTCAAGTATGCTCCAGAGAGGGGTGGTTGGTGAGGAGAGCTAACATCTAGAGCAAACTGATACGGCTGGAAAAAACCAGGCCACCCGTTGGGCACGTTAGCCCTTCCTCAGAAGCGGCCAACTTCAAGCTAAGCACAGCTGGGAAAGTTGCCCCCAGTTTAATTAAGTTAACCTATTAGACAGCGGGAGAGGAAAAGGTAACTAGTGTCTGGTTAGTAAAAAGCCGTGAAAGGTGGTTGTGGGATGAGAGGGAGAAACCAGTAGCTGGTACCTGTGAAGTGGTGAGGAGCTCGTGAGGCAGATGGTGCAGCAGAAAATGCACTGTGCCCTAAAACCAATCAGGCCCCCTTTTTTTTTTTTTTTTTAAATACTCAGTGGAGTTACAGGTAAACAAAGCTTTCTTAAATGTGGTATTTTTTATTTTTCAAGGATCTAGCGCCGCGAGCTAGTAGTACCTGTGCTACCGCGATGCGGCCCGCTCAATCCCTCCCTGCCCTGGGGAGGTTTGAGACGACCCTTTCGTTCGGTTCTGCGCTTGCAGGCCGTGCAAAGCCTGATCGTGCCCTGAGCGCGGTTTTGGGGTGCTGACTGGTGTGGGTGCGTGCCGCCGGCGGCCTCGGCGAGCCGCC